ACGTGATTTTTGCATAAGTTTTGGTTGTCTCATTGGCACTTTTTTTTTGTTAACCAATGAGAGAAGCAAAACTTATGCAAAAGTCACGTAGATCGTATCGACGTCAGAGAAGAAGTCAAAATAGAATTACAAGGCACTCGCTGTCAGATTCATCGCAAGCAGACTATCGGAACACATTGAAATAAAAGATATTATCTTAATCAGCTGCGACATAAATATAATCTTTATAAATACTGCAACTAACTCGACACTCAAAGCATCTGGGTTTAGCGCTATAGAACTTAAGANTAAGAAGATGTATCAGGGTACAGTATACATCACGTGATAAACAGCATAGTCATCCCGATCAATAATTTGCATAGATATAACGAAACTCATTCGTACCTGGATAAAAACAAGGTATGTATTTCTAATGTGATAAACATGGTCTTTCTGGCGGTAGGCATTGATTCATCGCTACAGTGAGCTATGTCTTTTATCGCGATCTACTTCAACTTTTTTTTATCTAGATGAGTGAAAGCGTTATCTACATAATAATTCTGTCTCGATATAGCGTAATAAAATTTCAGCTAGCTATATCGAAATACCAGTTTTTATCGCAATAGGTAGGTAGCTTATTCCGATAACGTATACGGCATGACATATCGAAGTAGATATATTAGATCTCGATAGTGAATTTATCGCAATAAATATGATAAGTATCGTGATATTGCCAATTTTTTCCACCAATATCGAGTTATATCGCCCGATAGTTACTTAAAAAGTCCTCATGGGAAAAATGAAATACACAACATTTCGTCCTTCACTTATCTTGTAATGGAGAATACAGAGTTTTATACATGTCCTGCTTTTTGAGAAAAAAGTCCATCTACATTTGATTTTCAACTTGACTATCTAGTCTGAAAATTCAAGTGTTATGATTTCGGACATAAGAAAAAAATCTTCTTACTTTACAAGCTAATATTTTGTAGTTCAAAAGAAAAACTACTTATGAGCATCTTCACTCTTGCACAATTTTGCTCCTGCGGATATATACATGTTGATTGTCAGTAAATGTCTTTGACGAATGTTTTTTTATTGTCGATGTAAAGCGCCTTACTTGTAGATGTCGGTGTATTATATATGTTTTGTTGCCATTGATTATTCATACTCTTAACTTGAACTAGAAGAAAAAGGGTTCCGAAACGATACGTACAAACAATGTTGCGCACAGATTCTTGCGCACGGATTCATGCGCACGAGGAAACATGCGCACAGGTACCTTACACACGAGGAATGTTTCGCACCGGAATCTTACGCATCAGGTTGTTACGCACGGACGCTTGTGCACGTATCACATAATGAGACAGAAAATCAAAGTGATGATGTTCTGTAATCATTTCTTTTTAATCTAAAGTTTTGAAAGAACATAATTAATTATTGTGAATAAACTAAGTAAACGATGATGACGTTTATTTAAGAGAAATATTATTAGCTAGATTATTGATTTGATCAATTATATCTGTATGTGGATTTAAAAAACGTTTATCTAAATGTTGGTATTTCTTTGTTTTTTGTATTGATTCTCCAGTGTGGGCGTGTAAAATTTTTCTACGAATGGTCGAATCGTCTTCATCACATAATTTGTCAATAAATTTTCATAATATTGGATTAGCATGTATGTAATGTTAAATTACATGTATGTAAACTATAATGACAGTTAAAACGTTTATGGTTCTCCCAGAGCCAGTACCTTTTATATTCGTTTGACGATCTTTTACATATGAATATCCGCCGTCAACCATCAGTGGTCGACCTCGCGTAGTCATAGTCATTTCACGTTGAGAAGTCATAGTACAGAAAATTCCGAAATTGTATAGTAGTGTAGCACTATATCGCACTGAACTATATTGTTTACAAACACCATCAAGAAATGGTGTAAAAAGAAAAATAGGATCTTTGTACAAATCATAAAGACGTTCGTTTTCTTTGAAATCAACACCTGTTTCATTCAGATTGATTTCTAACTGTTCTAATAGATCACCAAATCTTGATAATAACGATGATAATAAAGCATCACACAACTTTGTTGTATAACGAATATTATTCTTTGCATTTTTTAAATCAGAATAAATGGCTAAAGTACTGGGAGCAATTAATGAAATAGATGGAGAATTTTGCTGTTGAGTTCTTGTTGTTACTTTAGCTAGTAGTGATAATAAACAAACAAATTCATTTAATACATCTAAATCATGTGAATTAAAACATAAATGTTTATATTTTAATTGTATTAAAATTTCGTTCAATGTAAGAGTAGGTACAACAAGAATACGTTCAACCATTAAAATTTGAGAATTCCATCGTGTGACAATAGCACGAGGTAGTGATACTTTAATTGATTCCAGTTTTTCTGCAAATTTAGCATTAGTGTGAGAAAGTTTAGCAATTGCTGACACTTTTTCTAATGATGGTAAAATTGATTTTATCTCATGTAAACCGTCCTTCACAATTAATTGAATCGTGTGCGCAAAACACGGGATTCTAAATACTTCATTATTTTGTAATAAATTACAAAATGAATTTTCAATGAATTGTTCTTGTGTTTTTCTCATTTACCACTTATTGTTTTAGTACCTTTAGAGACATAGTTATCGTTCATATCAAGCCTTCACTTGTGCCTTACAGATATCAACGCGTTCTTTCAAATAATTATCTTCTGGATACATTAGTATTAAGAGAAGACTTACATGTATTAAAGACTGTATTTACAAATCTAAAACTATTAAAAGTGAACAGAAATACTAAACAGAACATTCCGTGTCAGCAGCTAAGGAGTCCTTTAATATTGATTATAATCTCTTGATTCGTAGTACATATAAATATCTCTCACTGTGCTATTTTTAAGTATTTTACCCTGATATATCTGATATTGAACGGTTATACAATGATTTTGGTTTATGTGTTTGACACGTATCATGCAGCTAAAGAATTAAATTTAACATCGTTCAAAGTATACAAAGTACACAAACCACATAAACAACT